AATTAATTAATTAAATTAAATTAAATTAAATTAAATTAAATTAAACTAAACAAAAAACAAAACAAAACAAAACAAAACAAAACAAAACAAAATAAAAAATATAAAAATAAGTATCGCTTTTTATTTCTCCTCTTTCCTACTACTTTCACTTCTACGTTTCACTTCTGTTTCAGTTTTTATAACCATTTCTTACTATGTGTAAGTAAGTTATTTTTTAGGATTACTGATAAACTACTGTCGTTTGATTTGTATTTTTTGTATTTGTAATTTATTTTAATTTGAGTTAAATTATGTCTGAACTGATTATGTCTGTATAGGTCTTTTATTAAGTTTTTAGTTTTATTTAATTTGAGTTATTTTAATACTTCAACAAACTAAATGGAAATGAAATAATATATATATACTGATTTATAAATGTGTATGTATATATACAGTATATATATGTGTGTATGTGTGTGTGGTTGTACATACACACATATGTAGTTGTTTTTTTGGTGTTTGGTTTAGTGGTATGTTAGAATCATTATTATGCTCTTATACCTTTTGTTCTTTAATATTTTGAATTGTTTTTAGCTTTATTTTTTGTTTTTCATTTAAATGTTAAGTTTTGAAATTTAGTTGTATGCATTTGTCATTTTTATTTAATTTCTTTATCTTTATTTTTAAAATGTGTATAGGTAGTATTTATAAAGTTTGAGCTTTTAGTTTTGGATCTGTTTTTAGTTGTTTTAATACTACAATGGATTGCTTCTGTTGTCCTCATTTGTAAGTCGCTTTGGATAAAAGCGTCTGATAAATGACTAAATAAAATAAAATAAAATAATCACTGATATACATCTTTGGACACATTTAAGCTGTATACTTGCATGTTAAAATAAAACAATTAAAAAATGATTTCTATACAGTTTTGTACACACACACACACACACACCTTTGCGGAGGTGCTTTTTCTTGGTCTTGCGTCGGATGCTGTTGATTCCTGGCACGGGTTTCAGGTCGCTCTTGCTGATCGGCGGTGGATGCAGGATCGGTTTAGGAGCCCGAGTCAAACACACGGGGAGCCCAGCAGCACACATGAGGATACCAGTCATTCCTGACACAAAGACACTCATATAAGCTTAAGCTGTAGATCATGGCACTATAAGGCCAAGGTCATGGGTTCAATTCCTGGGAAATGCATGAACTGATCAACTGTATACCTTGAATGCAATGCAAGTCGCTTTGGATAAAAAGCATCTGCCAAATGCATTAATGTAAATAACATAACTGTTTCTTAATTAATGTCTTTTTGTTCAAATCTTTCATTGGTACTTTAAACATGTTTAAAAAAAAGAACTGCTATATCTTTATACACAGTTAAGCTGTTTACTTGGATGTTAAAATAAAACAAAATAAAACCATTTCTGCACTCCTACATACAGAGCTTACTTGCATGTTAAAATAGAACAAAAAATCTATACGCTTTTGAACAGAGTCAAACTGTTTACTTGCTAAATAAAATATACGTTAATTTTTCATCCTAAATTCTTAATTTAAGTCTTATTTGTTCAAATCATTCGTTGGTACATAGTTTAACTGGTCTTTTAAATAAAATAAAATTAAAAAAATAAAATAAAATAAAAAATAAAAAAATAAAAATTAATTAATTAATTAAATTAAATTAAATTAAATTAAATTAAATTAAACTAAACAAAAAACAAAACAAAACAAAACAAAACAAAACAAAACAAAACAAAACAAAACAAAACAAAACAAAACAAAACAAAACAAAACAAAACAAAACAAAACAAAACAAAACAAAACAAAACAAAACAAAACAAAACAAAACAAAACAAAACAAAACAAAACAAAACAAAACAAAACAAAACAAAACAAAACAAAACAAAACAAAACAAAACAAAACAAAACAAAACAAAACAAAACAAAACAAAATAAAAAATATAAAAATAAGTATCGCTTTTTATTTCTCCTCTTTCCTACTACTTTCACTTCTACGTTTCACTTCTGTTTCAGTTTTTATAACCATTTCTTACTATGTGTAAGTAAGTTATTTTTTAGGATTACTGATAAACTACTGTCGTTTGATTTGTATTTTTTGTATTTGTAATTTATTTTAATTTGAGTTAAATTATGTCTGAACTGATTATGTCTGTATAGGTCTTTTATTAAGTTTTTAGTTTTATTTAATTTGAGTTATTTTAATACTTCAACAAACTAAATGGAAATGAAATAATATATATATACTGATTTATAAATGTGTATGTATATATACAGTATATATATGTGTGTATGTGTGTGTGGTTGTACATACACACATATGTAGTTGTTTTTTTGGTGTTTGGTTTAGTGGTATGTTAGAATCATTATTATGCTCTTATACCTTTTGTTCTTTAATATTTTGAATTGTTTTTAGCTTTATTTTTTGTTTTTCATTTAAATGTTAAGTTTTGAAATTTAGTTGTATGCATTTGTCATTTTTATTTAATTTCTTTATCTTTATTTTTAAAATGTGTATAGGTAGTATTTATAAAGTTTGAGCTTTTAGTTTTGGATCTGTTTTTAGTTGTTTTAATACTACAATGGATTGCTTCTGTTGTCCTCATTTGTAAGTCGCTTTGGATAAAAGCGTCTGATAAATGACTAAATAAAATAAAATAAAATAATCACTGATATACATCTTTGGACACATTTAAGCTGTATACTTGCATGTTAAAATAAAACAATTAAAAAATGATTTCTATACAGTTTTGTACAAAGTTAAGCTGTTTACTTGCCAAATAAAACTTACATTAATTCTTAATCCTAAATTCCTAATTTATGTCTTTTTATTAAAATGATTCGTTGGTATTTAGTTTACTTGCATATTAAAATAAAATATAAACATAATAAATAAACAAACAAACAAATAAATAATCACTGTTTCTACTAAATACTGAGCAAAGGGTCTGAATACTTAGGACCATGTGTTATTTCAGTTTTTCTTTTTTAATAAATCTGCATAAATGTCAACAATTCTGTGTTTTTCTGTCAATATGGGGTGCTGTGTGTACATTAATGAGGAAAAAAAATTAACTTAAATGATTTTAGCAAATGGCTGCAATATAACAAAGAGTGAAAAATTTAAGGGGGTCTGAATACTTTCCGTACCCACTGTATATATACAAGCAAACTACAGGTAATAATTAAAGTTTTTAACAAAAAAAAACAAGTTAATAATTTAGAATGAAGAATTAACATATTTTATTTTGCAAGTAAACAGCTTAACTCTGCACAAAAGTGTAAAGAAACAATTTTTATTGTTTTATTTTGACATGAAAGAAAACAGCTTAACTGTGTACAAAGATGCATGTCATATATATATATAAAACATCTCTATAAACTTCTGTACAGAATTAAGCTGTAAACACAAAATAAATGTAGTCTGCCATGCCAATAAAGTTCTTTACACTGAAGTGAATTAGATTTTGTGGTGTAGTACCTGCTAATGCAGGATGGACCGGTCCTGACCCAGTGAGATTCTTCACAGGAAGTGCAAGAACCCTAAAGATGACAGGAAACAGACAATGATCCATATCAACTGAAGCTTATAAACTGTAAGAGACCATCCGAACCTCTGATGAGGAGAAATAAACGTCCCAAAACAGTTAATCAAGACTCTAGCACACCCTAAAACTCACAACCTTCCTCATCTGCTGAAGCCAGAGGAACCGTCCAATCAAATGAAGCTCTTATCGAACCAATCAGCATCCAGTGACAAACACTAAAGCCTGATCACACACGTAAACAAAGCTGAAGTTACATCCGCCAGCGTCATTAAAGCTCTCAGATCACACGAGGAACAAAAACGAATTAATAAAGGACAGAAAATGAGACTCTCGTCTGGAGAATCACATTGTTCACTTAAAAGCCCCGCTTAATTCAGACCTGAGAGCTTCAGCCACAGATCCTATCAGTGTGAAGAAGAGAAATGAAACCAGATGATGATGATGATGATAACAGATGCTGCATTGTAGTACATTATTAGAAAGTGAAACTATTATTATTATTGCCTAAAGAAAATGTGATTCTAAGATGCGGGGGTTATTTATTATAGTGCTGTATTATAATTAATTGAAACTAAAACCATTTAAAAAAAACACATTTTCTTTCTTGAAACAATCTTAAAATCTTAACTGAAATAAAATATAAAACATAAAATATAAAAACTAGTTGTCATTTTTATTAGTTTAACTTGTATAAAACTGAAATATTTTTTTAAATACTGTAAAAAAAACACAAAATATTACAGAAAATTAAAATGAACAAAAAATATAAAAATAAAAACAAAATATTAATAAAAACTATAATTGTATGTCAAATGATACTAAAATAGCACCACTAAGAGGATGTTGTTGGTTGCTAGGTGCATTAGTATGCTAATTATTTATGATAAAATAAAATTAAATATAAAATAAAAAATTAATAATAAATAAATAATAAAACAAATAAATAAATAGAAAGAATCAAGGAAAAAGAATAATAAAAAATCATACAAAATATAAATATAAAACATTCAGAAATAATAATAAAACAAATAAATAAAAAATAAGTAAATATAAAAAAAATACAATAATTATTTTATCAAATAAAATAAATATTCATAATTAATAAATAATAAATCCAAACAATTGATCAATCAATCAAGGAGACAGAATGCTACAATAAAAATTGTAATAATAAGAATCAAATAATAAATAAATATAAAAATAATTATTTTAAACTAAAAATAATGAATGAAATAATTTCTAATCTGTCTAAAATGAAACAAAAATAAAAGCATTTCCATACACCTTCACTCAGAGTTAAGCTGTTTTTGCCTGGAGTGAAACAGAGCGTCTCGCATCGATACGGATCAGGAAACGATTACGCTTGACTCGTATCATGTTTTATCTCATATTTCTCATGCAGCGAGTCAAAGCCCTGCTGCTGATGGAGCCACGAAAGCGAGATCCTACCGTCTGTCCTCGTCTGAGTCTCCATCCGTCTCCATCATCTCTCCTGATCTCAATCAACTCCAAACACACGCAACACAAACTTCCTCCTCTGATCACTCACACACACACTCACACCAGCTGCGACAGGAAGTCAAACAGGAAGTCAGAGTCAGTTTTAGAGATGATTTGAACTCTGTTAGTGTTCAGTGACTTCAGACTCATGTTTACATGCGCTTACTGAAGGAAACGAGCCAAAAACAAGACTACACTGAATCTGCCTCACATACCGTTATTAAAGTACTGTACCACGGTCACATGGTAATATATCATGATTCTGGCCAGCATGTTTCTAAATGATTATCACAGAGATATATCTGAATTACACCATATACTGTAACTCGTGAATCATACACAGGTCTATATTCATAATTAAAGAGATGTCATGATAGCAATAAACTACAAATCCAATTTTAATCATAATGCTCAATAAAATAAAATAAAATAATTCTGGTCAACTGACCTATGGATTTTGATGAATAATGAAGATGTTTGAAATGTACATCTGATTTATAGAATTATGACATAATTCAATGAATTGTCAAATAAAATAAAATTACTCTTCTCATTTGGCCTACAGGTTATGATCAATAATGAAAATGTACATCTGATTCATAGACTTATGACAAAATTCAATGAACTGTAAAATTAAAATAAAATTATGATTCTGCTTAATTGGCCTATAGGCTATAATGAATCATAAAGATGTTTGCAATGTTCATCTAATTTATGGAATTATTACGCAATGCAATAAATTATAATAATTTGAAAACAAATAAAATGCCAGATTTTGTCATTCTGAAGGGTATTTTTCTCTTTTAAAAAAAAATGTACTCTATGCATCTAAATTTGCGACATGAAATAAATGCACAGATCAGCGACAAAAAATCATAGTAATTTAACCTCCAAACAGTTCAGATGTATTAAATCTCACAAATGTTAACGTTCAGATGAAAAGTGAAGATTAATAAGAGCATAACTCTTGAGTTGCAGTGAGATTTAACTATGGGATTATGGTGTAAACTGCAGATATTGTAGCACAGTAAGTGTGTGTAACAGGTCTGTCTCAGCCTGTTGGGGCATCAGAATCTATCAGACTCTGCCCTCTAGTGGTGGTGCTAAAATCACATGTAATGTGGTCAGACTTAGTAGAGCAATACAATCTCCTTCTATATAAAATAAATAAAATAAAAATATATAAAACATTCAATTAAATTAAATTAAATTTAAAAGTAAATAAATAGCCCATGGCCCAGTAAAAAGGGCCAAAACGGTTTTATACAGATATTTACAGTAAACTTGTTAACCAGCCAATTGTTAGCTGAAACTCATTATATAAGTGGTAGGAAATAAAACATTTAATTGCATTAATATGAAAACCATGACATATCTTCACTGAAGTTGTTCTCACTTTCTAGTTTGTTCATGTCATAATTCATGTCATAACACTGATGTTTTGTGCATGTGTGATGCTTGTTTACACCACGATATCTGCTGGAGTGTGTTTGTGTTTATGCACATGCACAGGAAGTGTGATACATGTGTGTGTGTGTGTGTGTGTGTGTGTGTGTGTGTGTGTGTGTGTTAACCACACTCATCCTGTGTGTGTGAACCGCTCGCCTGGGAACAAAGCGAACTCATCTGTCTTCACAATCTCTCTCTTTCTGTGTCTGTTCGTCTCTGCTCTGCTCTCTGTGTTTCTGCTGAAGTGTGTTTGTGGTTTCAGAAAACATCTCCACTTCACATTTACTAGGATTTACACCCCTTCATTAAGTGCTTTTCTCTGTCTGTCTGTCTGTCTGTCTGTCTGTGTGTGTGTGTGTGTGTGTGTGTCTGCTGAGGCTCCATTTTGCCTTGATCCATTATTCATCTTTTCCCCTGGTTTAGCTTGACCAGAGACGTTCTCAAACAATGATTTTCACACGCTCACAGGAAAGGACAAGATTTATAGATGCATTACAGCATCACTTAAAGAAGGGATGGCTGGGCGCAGAGCAGAATGATGGACAGAAAAAAGAAGAGGGAGAGATTGGGGACCCAGGGCTGGAGAAAAGTGTGCAACTGGGCTTTCAGCCAGTCGTGGGGGCCTACTGGGGAAATTTGTTGGGGCGAACTGCGGGAAACATGATTGTTGGTGTGTGTGTGTGTGTGTGTGTTTGTTTGTGTGTGTGTGTGAATGTTTGTGTGTGTGTGTGCGTGCTTGTGTGTGTGTGTGTGTGTGTGTGTGTGTGAGAATGTGTGTGTGTGCGTGTGTTTGACTGATTCAGTGTCACAGCGCAAAAGGACACTATTGATTATTTCCCAGTTCAAGCTGATCAATATCTACAAAACTGAAAGCATCAATAAACAAAGATGAGAATGGTGCAATGAAGTGCAAAGACTATATACAGTGCATATATAACAATAGACAGAACAATAGAACAATAGAACGATAGAACGATAGATAGATAGATAGATAGATAGATAGATAGATAGATAGATAGATAGATAGATAGATAGATAGATAGATAGATAGATAGATAGATGGATATAATTATTAAAAGAAGGTGACCATGAGTTATGAATGTTAAAGGGGACCTATTATACAAAATTCACTTTTACAAGGTGTTTAGACATAAATGTGTGTTGGCAGTGTGTGTACACAACCACCCTATAATGATAAAAATCCACCCACTCCTTTTTTTTTAATCCCCATAAATAATAAGCAGTGTCTCCCAATGGCCTGTTTTTAGCATTGGTGCAAATGTGATGTCACATTAGCCACAGGCCCCGCCCACGAACTGCCGTTTTAACATAGAACCGTCCTGAGCGAGTTCACAGCGAGTTGTACACCGTCCGCCATTGCTGCACTGACGAGAATGTCTCCCAAGCGTTTTAGGTGTTCTGTAGCTGGATGTATTAATCCACATAGCTCTCTCCATTTACTCCCGAAATCTCAGCCGCTGAAGACGAGGTGGATTAATTTTGTTTTTGAAGAAAATGCTCCCTCAACTCTACAGAAATTAGTTTATGTCTGCGTGAATCATTTTACACCGGACTGCTTTGTGAATGAGGGTCAGTATAAAGCAGGTTTTGCACAAAAGTTGCTCCTGAAGGATGGAGCAGTGCCAACTGTTCGTGATCCAGCTAACGTTACGCCATCTAGAAGAAGTAAGTATCACGCGTTTGTTTTCCAAATGACCTTTCTGAAAGAGCTTCTTGGCACTCTGTAAGGCTAATATTGCTAAAGCTACCATTGTCTGTCTGTTCTCACTGATGCTGCCTTCACGTGCTACCAGAATGATCGAGAATAGGAATGTGGTAGTTAAAAATTGCATTTGAAAGCAATGTGAAATCGACTGCTTGAATTTGTCAAGCTCATAATCATATGTGGGACTTATAAAGTTTGTGTTAGCACGCAATGGCACCATGAAACCAGTTATGTTGTTATTTTTATCGCGCCATGCTCCCCGTCTGTGTAATTCAGAAATAATCTGGCAGGGTGCAGAATTCGGCATGACACCGGTTCGAACATATATGACTGAACACCGCTACTAGCGGTTTCTGACATTTTCAGTGCATGAGAGAGTGTTTTGTTATTGCTGGCATGCCGGTGCGCGAGCTCTAGAAACTCCACCCTCTTCTGAAAGGGGAGGCGGGAGCACCAGCTCGTTTTCATTTAAAGGGACAAACACAAAAAAACAGCACGTTTTGGCTCATACTCATATTGGCAATTTCAACAAGCTATAAAAAATTAACTGTAGGGTATTTTGAGCTAATATTTCACATACACACTCCGGGGACATCAGAGACTTATTTTACATCTTGTAAAAAGGGGCATAATAGGTCACCTTTAAAGTTTTTTTTTACAAATCCAGTATCAAACCATGAACTAATATACCATTTTAATAAAATTGTATAATACCAGAACAGGATTTTTTCCAGTTTATTGAATCAGTTCACTGAAATGAACCATTCGAATGAACCGATACGCTCAAATGAATCAGAGTTCTCAACACTACTTAAAGGGACAGTTCACCCAGAAATGACCATTCTGTCATCATTAGCTCACCCTGAAGTTGTTACAAACCTGTAGAAGTTTCTTTCTTCTGCTGAACATAGATATTTTAAAGAATGTGGGTAAGCGAACAATTTGGTATGGGAAAAAAAAACATGATGGAAGTCAATGGCTACCGTCAACTGTTTGGTTACCCACATTCTTCAAAATATCCTTTTGTGTTGAACAGAAGAAAGAAAATGAAACATACTTTGATATGTACCAAGATACAGGGTTAGTTCACCCAAAAATGAAAATTAGCCCATGTTTTACTCACCCTCAAGGCTACTGTTCGGACGTTCTTGCTTACTGCTCTGTGCTTTGCTCCCTATTTATGTACTTTTCTCAGATTTTTCTAAGATTCTAACTTCAGCAGATCAGCACAGTGCTCAAACAACAAATTTTTGGCACAAACACTCAACTAACAACTTTTCAGGACTGGAATAATACTACGAAAAAGAAGACTCTTTGCCTACCACTGCCAGCAGCTTACATTCAAACAAACGAGAAAGAAAAAATTCCTCTTGTGGAATCTACTTGCTGCATGAACTGCCACGGACTTCTACAAAGGATTGCGGTTCTTGAAACAAAGAATCTAGTCCCATGAATCTAGTGAATCTCAACAGTTAATACCAAGTGTAGAGGAACAAGCCGAAACTGATCGATACACTAATCGATGGCACAAACAGGGAGCGAGACCCAAAGCCACTCGAGACATCAGATTGTCACGAGTATCTCGTATTGCTGCCGTAGCATCCTAGATGTGGCTATGACAAGGCTTGCAAACACTGGTATTCTACCACCCCCTATACACCTTGAGAACAGATTTGAAGCATTAATGAATGCGGGTGAAAAATCCCCAAATGTGATTGAACATGGATCGTATCAGCCAGCAGCTAACATCGCTACTAACAGGCGCTCAAGGTCAACCAGACAACGGCATTCAGCTCAGAGCGCAACCGAGCCCAGGACTCCATTATCAGAAACATCAGTAGCTGGACTACAACTACATGCTGCTTTCCTCAAGCAACCATCTCTGATGTAAACATGGAACTTCAGAACATTCTGATGAAGCACAATACTGCAAATCGAATCATCATCCATGTGGGGAAGAATGCTATTCAGAAAGAGCAGTCAGAACTCCTTAAGAAGGATTTCTGTGAACTCTTTGAAACACTTAGAAGATTTGAAGTTCAGCCGTTCATCAGTGGACCACTCCCAGCAAGGGGAACTAACATGTTTTCACAGCTTCTTGGGCTGAATACATGGCTACAAAGAACCTGCAGTATAAAAGGAGTCAACTTTATTGACAACTTCAATCTTTTCTGGGGCCATTGACAACTGTTTAAACTGGATGGCCTCCACCCAAACAAACTTGGTGCATGAGTGCTAAAGGACCATATCTATTTCTCCCTTCGTCATCCTTCAGTAGTGTGTGCCAATCCACTCAACCTGAATGACACACACACAACTGGACAAAGTATGAGTGACGAAAGGAGGACTTCATATCAGCTTCCGAGTCATCATGTGGTTGATACATCCCACAAGGACACTGATAACACCACGCAGCCAAAACAAGCACACCTCACGGACAACATCCCGGGTGAGCCCTGCCCACAGAGCTCATCACAGACAGACTGTGACGTATCAGAACAGCTCCAAGACTCAGCACCCAAGGACGGCTTTCTGGAAAACAGCCAGGGAAGCCAGGACAACATATCACAGCTACCGGAAACATCAGAGCCAGAGCCCCGCTCACAAGACACATTATCCCTCTCTCCAGCATCTCCACTTCTAAGCTTCTCACAGAAAATGGAGGAACAGGTGTATGCTGGGACCAAATTCTCCCACTCTTTCGCTGCAAGCCCCCAGATATCAACTAAAAAACGGCGGGCCCCACAACCCCACAAGCCTGTGGGTCCAGCTCGTCCTCCTCCTCCTGTGAGAGCTCTCCGGCCGCTGCCACAACGCCAGGGCCGCTATGATAGCAGCAACATTCACAAATGTTTACAGAACAAGCGGGAACCCAGTGTGCCTGTAGCTTTCTCTATTTCTGTTTTATCACGTGATAGAAAGTCCAAGGCCTTCTCAAACCATACGGCTGACCCATCTAATCTGCGGCCTATTATGCATCAAACTAAGATTGCTGTAAAGACACAAAGTAATGCCATCAAGTTAGCATTTTTAAACATTCGCTCACTAAAAAATAAATAATTTCTGATCAATGACTTTAACCACAAACAACCTGGATTGTATGTTTCTAAACGAAACATGGCTAGAAGACAGCTGCAGTGGAACAGTCCTCAATGAAACAGCCCCTCCTAACTTTACTTTTATAAGCGCCTGCAGAGCTGTTAGGAGAGGTGGAGGTGTAGCTGCTCTATTTAAAGATGTCTATCAAAAGTTAAGAATGTTATTTATGATATTGCTCCTGTAAAAGTCAGTAAGAAGACTGGCAGACAAAAATCACCTTGGAGAAAATCAACAGCAGAGAGACTGGAAAACTGGGTTGGGCTTTCTGGGATGGTATTCAAATGGTTCAGGTCATACTTAGAAGGGAAAGGTTATTATGTGAGTATAGGAGAGCATAAGTCTCAGTGGACGTCCATGACATGCGGAGTCCCACAAGGCTCAATTCTTGCACCGCTCTTGTTTAGCCTATATATGCTCCCACTAAGTCAAATAATGAGAAAGAACCAAATTGCCTATCACTGCTATGCTGATGTTAACCAGATTTACCTAGCCTTATCACCAAATTACTACATCCCCATTGACTCCCTCTGCCAATGCATTGATGAAATTAACAGTTGGATGTGCCAAAACTTTATTTCGTTAAACAAGGAGAAAACCGATGTCATTGCATTTGGAAGCAAAGATGAAGTTCTCAAGGTGAATGCATACCTTGACTACCGTTTCGGTACGGTTCGGTATGTGCTATGTTTAGGGAAAAAACTATATTGTCAAATAAAAATAAAGAAAATAAGAACAAATCATCTAACTACAAGCAACAATAAATCAAATGTAAAATAACATTGCATATTTGACTGTATAACACAATACTTCACAGAGAGCTTAATATCTGCGCGCGTTCTGAGACGCGGGTTCACGCACTTCGGATGAGCGACCACACAGATCTTCTCACTGCGCGCGCAAGTTCACGTCTTCTGGCTCTTTAATATTTAAACTGGCAAGGCTTAAATGAGTTTAGTTTAAACACAGATAGCAACGTGTGCTGTTCAG